GTCAAGCCTGATTAATACAATCAACACAAAGATTAGTTGATGGGTATTTTCATTGTGTACAAACATTAACCAAGTCAATGTATTGCATTTGCTTAAAAATATATCTTTTAATTTTATATTCTTTTTACGTAACATCTTCTCATCAGACTAATTTATCATTTATTGAGGTTAAAATTAAAATTATAATTAATATTTTCTTGATTTTCTAAAATAAAGCTTATGGTAAACTAGATTTGAAAAGCTAAATAGGCGTTTCCACATTATAAAAAGAAGGTGATATTTGACAAAACAAAAGTTATAAGGGGTATAATAAAGTATGAAATTTTATTTGAATATGTATTTAATTAACTTGAAAAAATAAAATAAAAATTGTGAGTGAAAATAAATTCACCTTGTTTTCGGCTTCTCCGAGAATCTAGGCACGGAGATGCTCCTTGCCAATGGTAAATCTACATACAACAAAAAACAACACATTAGTGAAATAATTTGAAAACGAACAAAACATTATATAAATTTATTTTTCATAGGATAAGGAAAGAAAAATGTTTAACCTCCATAGTTTGATGAAAAGTCATTCTTAATTTTTGACATTTTTGCAAACTTTAGAATATCTTTCGCCTACATTCACAACAAATATTCAGAAATCACAGTTATATGAACCCAATTAAAAAGTGAAAGAAAATAAATCAAAAATCAGTGACATTAGATTGATAAAAACCTTGTCACTAGAGACATGGAAAGATGCAACCATTCCATTGTAGCAAATAGTCAAAAGTGCAATTTTCATGCCATTTTCTGAGCCAGCACAAACCCTGGTTAATAAAATCAACATAAAGATCAATCGATGGGTATTTTCATTTTCTAAAGCATTAACCAAATTAATGCAGACATGTATATGTTTGTCAGTTTTTTCTTATATATATATTTTAAAAAATTTAGTGTTCTTTTTACGAGAGATCTTCATTGTTAACACTAATTAATACAATGATCATGATAAATTCTTTATTTCTTTCCTTTATTTATTCTTCTTGGCTTTGCAGACATATGATTCCTAGGTTTACTATGGCTAAGTTAATTCTTGATAAAAAAAAAAAATGTAATTAAGTACTCTATTTAAGAAACAACACAACTTCCTTAATTCTTTTTTAGTAAAGATTACCTATTATATTTTCATAAAAATTACTGTCTTTTTAAACTATTAACTCATTTATCGAAGATAGGATTAATTTGGAGAAAAAAATTGAAGGTAGTAAAGTAATTGAGAGGTTAAGTAGGTGTTCGGACATAAAAAAAAAGTGAAGTTGGACAAAAAATGTTAGAAAGGGATATTAAAAAATATGAATATTTGGATATGCATTTAAATAACTTGAAAACATAGAAATTTCGGAAGTGGAAAAAAATTCACCTCTCTTTTCCCTTCTCCGAGAATCCAAGCATAGAGTTTCTTCTCACCAAATGTTGAGCTATATATATGTAACAAAAGCCAGCACATTATTAAAATAATTTGAAGATGAGCAAAATATTAATCAAATTTAATTTTCAAATAAGAAGGGAAAGAAAATTTTAACCTCCACTTAATGTTTCCACAAACAATTGTTTTTCGGATGAAACTGCATCTCTTGTTTCTGACCTTTCTGCAAACTCTAGAATATTTGCCACCTATATACATAATAAATAATTCAAAAATCACAATTATGTGTAATCAATTAAATAGTGAAACAAAACCAATCAGAGAAGAATGACCTTTGATTATTACAAACCTTATCACTGAATATATTGAAACTCACACTCGTTCCATCATAGCAAATAGTCAAAGGCGCAATTATTATGCCATTTTCCAAGCCAGAGTCAAGCCTGATTAATACAATCAACACAAAGATTAGAAGGAGAGGTCATCCATTTATAATTTTATTAAATAAATTCTATTGAGGCATATTTTATAATGATTATTCTATTTATCATGTTATAATTGATATTTGCAGATCTGTGTTGAAGTTGCAGAACTTTCGTTATTAAAAAGATTATATGTATATCTCCTAAATTTATTTTTTATATCTTCTCGTCAAACTAATTGATCATTTATTGAAGTTAAGATTAATTTGAAAAAAATAATTAATATCTTAGCTTCTTGGTTTTCTAAAATTGTGTTTGAATATACATTTAATTAACTTGAAAAAAAAAATTGTGAGTGAAAAAGAATTTACCTCGCGTTTTTCTTCTCCGAGAATCTAAGCAAGGAGTTTCTCCTCGCCAATGGTAGATCTACATACAACAAAAACCAACACATTACTGAAATAGTTTGAAAATGAACAACATTATACAAATTTAATTTTCAAAGGAGAAGGAAAAGAAAAATGTTTAACCTCCACTTAATGTTTCCACAGATAATTGTTTTTTTGGCGGAATGACATTCTTAATTTTTGACTTTTCCGCAAACATTAGAATTTCCTTCACCTACATACACAACGAATAATTTAGAAATACAATTATGTGAAACCAATTAAAAGTGAAAGAAAATAGACTAGGGATTAATGACATTTGATTGATAAAAACCTTGTCGCGGAAGACATTGAAATTTGCAATCTTTCCATTGCACCCAATAGTCAGAAGCACGATTTTCATGCCATTTTCCAAGCCACCACAAAGCCTAATTAATAAAATCAACAAAAAGGTCAATCAATGTTTTTTTTCATTGTCTCAAATACTAATCGAGTCCCTACAAACGTTATATTTGCTCAAGAAATCTCTATTCTTTTATAATTTTTAAATATATATATTCTTTTAGCGATAAAATTTTATTGTTACACATAAGATTTTTTTTTGAGAAGGGGGATGTTTGGCTGTGCAGAAATTTGATTCCTAGGTTTACTATGACAGTTAATTGCTAAGCTAATTCCTAATCATAAATGTAATTTAATTAAGTTCTCTCTTTATAGAACAATTCAACTTCTTTTGATTCTATTTGATAAAGATTACATCTTATATCTTCAAAAGTTACTCTTTTAATCTTCAAATTATTTAATTCTTTATTTAAAAGCGCCCTTTTGCTATTGATGTGCATTTAATTTGAAAAGAAAAAAAAATACCAACCTCTCTTTTCGGTTCTCCAAGAATCTAAGTTGAGAGTTTCTCCTCGCCATTGAGATGTCTAAATCCAAAAACAAACCAACACAATATTCCTCCATTTAGAATAAATAGTTTGAAGATGAAAATCAAGATTATTGAAACACTCATCAAATTCTCAAAAAATGTTTACCTTGACTTTGCGTTTCCACACCCAATGGCTTTTTTGATGAAGAGACATTCACAACATTTGAGCTATCTGCAAACTTTAGAATTTCCTCCGCCTACATACACATCAAATTCAAAAAACACAATTTACATGTAACCAATTCAATAGTGAAAGGAAAAGGTTCTAGGATTAATGACATTTGATTAATAAAAATTAACCTTATCCCTCGAGACATTAAAAATCTCAACTGTTTCATCGCAGATAAAACTCAGCGTCACAATTTTTGTTGTTGCGTTTTTCAAAACTTCATTGGGATTGGTCTTCCCAATCACATTATCAATACCTACAAGAAAATTTCACAAGGAAAAATAATTAGAATTCAATGTTAATTAGCTGGATTTTCCCTTTGTAACTATTGATATACTTTGTATTGAGATAAATCAAACATATATGTATACTTACACGCATGAACATATACTCATTGATGAATTTCTATAGCAAATTAGTGAAAAAGAAAGGAAAATTAAAACCTCCAAAGGTGATTTCACTTTTAAATTTAGGTGCGAAAATTAAGTGAAATTTTTATTTATTTTCTGATATTTAGTTTGTAAGCAAAAAAAATTATTTTCAAATATATTTTCTATATAATTCAACCATATATAGAAAATCAAAAGAAAAGTTGAAAAAAAAAACTACTTTTCTCCTTACCTAACACACCTTCTTCGTTTTTAAAGATTTTCCTTCTTTATAGAAAGTGAGATTAAGTTTAAAATTTAAACAATTTTGCTATTTTCTATAACATTAAGAAAATGAAAAAATATTTTTATGCATCTTTTTAACCTGTAAAAACCAATTATTCAAATATCGCGATAATATCCAAAAAAA